TTCTAAGCCTTTAGCTTTTAATGGATTGCTGTCAAGTTGTTTATTCCAAAAATATGATGTATGGAAAGAATAGCTGTCACCTCACAAACAAGCTGGAAACAAAAACATAGAAACAATTCAATGGTATAAAAGATTTATCTGCTTCATACTGCAAATAAGGAACATGCAGCTGCAGCCACTGAATTGTTTGAGAGCAAAGTTCTTGTCCTTATGCAATTGTCTATTAATAATTTGTGGCTTTGTATTGTCATGTGAGAAACTTGGGTCTGGATGCAACTTTGAGAATTCCACGTACTCATATTACTTGTCCTCAGGAAGGGAGGTTGCTGATCACAGTGCAGTTGAGGATAGTTCTTAAAAGTTACACCATGTTGTACTGATATGAACTCCCGCAAAAAGTGATACGGTAATAGCCGTGCAAGGTAATGGAGGGTAATACATTATACCGGAGGAAAAATAACAGCCCCTAGGAGGACAGGTTAATTCATGCAGGCATTTTTTTGTCTAAAATGGACAGACAGGAATAACTCTCCCTTCTCTCATACTACTAAAATCAAGGCAGTATGATTTTATAAAAGCTGCTTTTATTAATATCTACAAGTGTCCTAGCCCTTAATGTTTGCACATCACAACCCTCTAAATATTTGTCCATGACACTGGAGTTATCAACCCAAAGTAAATTCCTGCTCAGGGTAATTGAATTTTGCTGCCTAATGTATGGAACAAGGGCACTGCGAGATCTAATTACTTATTGTTGGAGTAGGCTAGGGTAAAAAGGAAATGTGAAAGTGGAATGTACCATGTGCAACAATATTTGTATTGTTCATTCATCCACAGCATGCATAACCACTCATGTTTCTTAAAGAACATATGTGGTGTCAAAACATTACCATATCCTCTTTTAAAAAAGCCCCCCAAACTGTCCCTTCTAGTTAATTTGGGGTGAGAGATGTCTTGATTTTATAGAGACAGTCCCGATATTTGGGGCTTTTTCTTATATAGGCACCTATTACCCCCAACACCGGCCCAATTTTTCACACTTGCTGTCTGCTCACCCTAAATTAATTCCAAGTGGAATGAAGCCTACATGAGAGATTGGCATCCTGCATTGCTTGTCTAATCACAAGTGAGGAACTGATCAATCTAGAAATGTGTACAAAAGGTTGAAGGAATAGGCTCCACAAACAAAAGGAACAGACTAGGAGAGAAAAAAAGTATTTTAACGTAATGGAATTTTACAGGGAAAATTACAACACATGGAGAATTTCAGGGCAAGCATAGCTGCAAGATTCATCTGGATCTGCATCGCTTGGTAAGCTGGGCCCATTTTAAAGCAAAAGCATTTTAATACAGCCAAATACATACCAAAGTTATACATTTGGGAACAAGGAATGCCAGCCAGGCAATTGTGTCTTGGAAGGCAGTGACTGTGAAAAGGATTTAGAGATCATAGTGCACAAGCAAGTGAACCTGAGCTCCAGTGCGATACTGTGGATATACAAAAAGGGGAGTAGTGAGTAGGAGTACGGAGGTGATTTTTCTTTTGCATACAGCATTAGTGAGATCAACACTAGAATACTGCACATAGTTCTGGTGTCCACATTGTAAAAAGGATGTTGAAAAAACAGAGAGGGTGCAGAAAAGATTACACTGATTCAAGGGCTGGAGAAAATATGACAGTGAGAGCCTTAAAAAGAGCTCAATCTGTTTAGCTTATCAAAAACAAGATCGAGAGGTGATTTGATTACAGTGCATATATACCTTCATGGAGAAAATACTAGGTACTAAATGGCTCTTTTATCTAGCAGAGAACAGAATAACAAGAACCAATGGCTGGATGCAGAAGCCCGACAAATTCAAATAAGAAATAAAGAGCATATTTTTAACAGTGAGGCTGATTAACCATTGGAACAAACTACCAAGGGAAGAGGTTATGAAATTATGATGATGTCTTTCTGGCAGATATGCTTTAGCTTTACATAAATTATATTTTACATAAGCACAAGTAATTGGCCTCAATACAGTGATAACTGGGTGAAATGTAACAGCCTGTCATACTCAGGAGGTCTGACTACGTGACTGAATAGTGCCTGCTGGCCCTAAACTTTATTAATCTGTTTAGGGTTTATAAACCCTAAAATTTATTATTATAAAACTTTATTTATAAACCTGCAGATTTTCCTTCAGATGGGACGGTAGGAAAAGAGAAGTGAAGAAAATCAGTGATAGAAACAAATGAGATGTATGAGGAAAATAGGGCAGGTAAGAGCAAACTAATCAGAGAAGTACTACAGATCACATGAAATATATCTAGTGTGCAAAACTCTCAGATACACAGTATAAATGCACAGTAAGTCCACTGACGGCGAAATTGAAAGCAAACTTTTCCCCAGTGTATCTGTGCTTCCCACAATCCAGCAAATCCAACTGGAAAGAGCTGAGTTTGTAGAGATCAAAGAAGGAAAGAGGAGAGGAAATAGGGATGAATTGCTATTTTCCTTTCTTAACACTGCTTACATGTTGTTTTTCACTGTTTATGACACAGTGTGCTAGGTCTGAAGGCAGCAGTTCTGATTAAGCAGACGATTGGAGACAAGGGCAGATAGGAGCTAGCAGAGAAGAGACATAAGAACATAAGAACGGTCATACTTGGTCAGACCAAAGGTCCATCCAGCCCAGTGTCCTGTCTGCCGACAGTGGCCAATGCCAGGTGCCCCCGAGGGAGTGAACTTAACAGGCAATGATCAAGTGATCTCTCTCCTGCAATTTGACTTGAAAGCCAGACAAAAGTCAAGAAAAACAGACTTTTACTGCCTAGGGTTAACTATTTTGAAACAGCCTGTAAATAAAATTCTGCATTAAAACAGAATATGGCTCAAAAATACCTGGGAGCCTGTGCAGAGGGCACAAAGAATACAAAGCTCTGACCATGTTCCAGAGGATCTGGACCTACACACCTTCTGGACAAAGGAAAGGTCTCCGAATGCGACCCTTTGGTACAAGTGGCAGAACACTGCTGGCCGACCCCCATCTGAAAGCCAGATTCCTGCACTGCAAATCCGGAAGCAGGAACCCTGAGAAAGGGAGCCCAGGCAAAGCTAATGTTACAAAGGCCAGAGAGGGAATGAAGGCAAATTAGAATCTTCCTTAAAAAGTGTAAACTTCTCTAAGGGACTGAGGGAAAATTCCTCTCTGGAGAAAAAGTGTGGAGCACATTTTTAAAAGCAGAGGCTGTTTAGCTTTTTCATTCTGCAGACCGCGGTGAGAGAGAGAGAGATCCTGTCTCTGCTCTCTCCCACAAGTACTGCCACTCAAGTTCCAACCCTGGGGTGCTTGGTTCTTAAAAGGGACAGATTTTCAAAAGCACAGCTCCCATTGTTCTCAAAGATCAGTTGGGTACTAAGCCCTTTGGAAAATCTGGCCGAAAGTGTTTCATCCTCTGTGACACCAGGAATGGCTGCACAGACCATTACTGCAATGCACCCTACATAAGAACTTATTAAAGGAAATATGGGCAGAGTAGGATCTGACACAGCCCAGGTGATGAGTCAGACTTGGCATGGCCACTAATAATCAGGTGGGGTGAAGATCAGAATTCAGGAATGGTGAGATTGTTCCGCTGCTTCTACTCAAAGTTTAGGTCTGAGGACACATTCTCAGCTGTGATATTTTTGGGAGTCCATAATAGGTTTAGAGGGCCAACGTGGATATTAATACAAGATATCTCAGCAAGGTGCAGAAATCAGGCAATGCAGAAAGGATCAAATGAAGTGCTTAGGTTTGGAAGTTTAAAAGCAATTGAGGTATGAATGGAATTTTGACTCCAAAGTGCCTAAATCCCTTTAAAAACGAGAGTTAGGCTCCTAAATCAGTTATATGTTACAATGCCGAAGGCAGCAATGGCTAAATACTATTAAAAATCTTGGCCCTAATAAGTAGAAGCCAATCAAAAAAGAAGCCAGGAAAAAGCTGAGAAAGCAGCTCAGACATGCTCCAAGCAGGCAAGAGAAATTTTCCATCTAGTAATTGATAGGTTAGCGGAGTCTTAGAGTTGTTAATAGTTTCTATACATAGTTTATATATAGCCAGATCAAACATATCCAAGGGGAAGGTGGAGGAGTCTGGGTAGTCTATGAGAAGAAGTGGGTAGGATCCACATAGTCACTCCCTTTGGCCCCATATAAATTAATCAGCAAATTAATGCAGCCTTAAGATATTATCTTTTCTGCACAACCCTGCCCCCTCCATCATCATGTGGGCAGTCGTGTCCAGGAGATAGCTTTGTTAGTATAGCTTCCATGGAGATGTGCTGCCAGGGATGGGAGTGGGGGTCAGAGCTGGTCTAAATGATGTGGGGTGATTCACGTTAGGGGATCCTCATAGGGATTCCCTCCCTCTGAGCCCTCCCATGGGCTTTTCAGTAAGAGGGGAGGATCTCAGTCCGTATTATTTTTATTGTTACTTGACAGCAGGAATCAGTTATCACTGTGGTGTGGTGGCTAGAATAACGTTTACAGCCCTCTATCACAGTACTAAGACTGGCTATGCATATTACAATTTTCAGCCTCCACTAGGGTTGGGTCTGGTGCTGACTGTTGCTCACTCAGGCATGCCAGGTATGCCACCCATTCCTCTGGAAGCTGCTGAAAAGGGAGCTTCCTTCCCTCTTGCGTCCTCCACCATGCTCTAAGGAATGCATTAGGGACCAGACTGACAGCCCCAGACCAGTTAGGGGAGATTGCCCTCAGCCAGGAGAGGCCTGTCTTCTTTAAGAACCAAAGGCGAACCATTCCCCAAATGATCTCCATGGGAGAGCTAATCCCTCAACCAAGCAGCTACTGCATAGCCAGAGGATGTATCTGCCATCACCACTGCTTCTAGAAGAACTAGCTGCAAGATAGAAGAATCACCTAGAGGAGCCTCTATGAGGAGCTAGGGGAGGACTAAGGGCTTCTTCTCCCATGGGGTATCAAGGGAAATTATTTTGGGGGCGGGGAAGTGAACCTATATCCACAAATTTCAAGAGATTCAAAGTTATGGTTACTACAGCACCTTTAATTTTGGCACACTGCAATGTATCTGAGCTATGTCTTCAGCAGTGGATAGATACTCCTAAGACTTGCCATACTGGAACATATTAATTTGGTTCATCTAGACTGGAATCTTGATTCATGAAATGGCCTTCACTAAACCCTATTTCATACAGCTAGCCAACTGTGTAATCCTAAATCAACAAAAAGAGAATCCATTTGCTCAAAAAAGGCACTTGATTTTAAAGCTTTTCATACAGTTAACCTTCGATATATTTTCTTTACAGAGCAGGGTGGGCACTGTCACCTTCTTTATCACACCAGCAAAACGGGAATGTCCCACAGCACGGCTGCAGCCAGGGCTTCCATATAATGTTGTACAATGAGAGCTGTTGTGGGACTGGAGTCAGTGTCTGTCGATGCTCCTGAACAGCTCTTTCTATTCTGCTTATTACTGTGTCAAACAGGGGCTCAGTGGCAGATGATAGAGGTTTGGCCTCAGACGGGTCTCTGGACAGATCAAAGAGTAAAGGAGGATTATGATGGGTTACACCTTCCCCAAAACATGGGCAAATTCCTCTTCCATAACACGCTCCAGCACCCTCAGGCTGGAATATTGGAGTCACATAATGAGCCTTCCACAGTGCACCACCTGGTAGGAGAGAAACCAGATGTAAGATGATACAGATAGACATAAAATGTCATTAGAAGTGTGAAAGATCTTTCAGCACTGAACATATTTTCAGAACTTAACAAGTAAAGTTTGTAACACAAGGTGCCAAGTTTCGCCTTCATACTGCTGGATGGGGTATTCAGACTTTGGGTCCATCCAAACAGGATTAACCCAGTACTACCCCTCCCAGAGCAACTGAGCAGGGAGAATCTTGGTTCTGCACCCAATATTCTAGTCAGCATACTTGTGCCCATAGCGTGTATATCAAAATATACATGCAGGACAACAGCAAATTATTACTACTCTATGGGTACCTGCACTGTTCCTAGCTGGCACAACTACATACTGTCTCCTATCCCAGGCTTGTTGCAAAGCCATCATTGTTTTTGGAAGAACCATTATACTCACTGTCCTTTTGGTGCCACCGTACTGCATGTAAATACATGCCACAGTAGTGAAACAGGAACTCATGCTCTGAGTGCTGAATGGACCCCTGCAGTAAAGGCATCAGGTTCCGGCCATCGATCACCCTAATGTTGATGGAGAGAATGGCAGTCACCAAACTGCAGTGAGCTGCAGGATAACAAGTTCTGTACCCGACTACCATTGCAATTGAAAACACTTGCAATTGAAAGCACAATTGAAAACTTACTTTTGGAACAAGGAACATTTATGAGAACGGGGTGAATCTCAAACATGTAAAAGATTTATATGAACTATATGCAGCTTAGGGATCTGAAAAAGTAGGCTGGAAATCACATGATAAACATCCAATATTGAGATCTAACATTAGGATCATTTTCAAAAAAGATTCCATATTGGAAATTTAAAGGACTGAATATGTTTTACAATTTCTGTACCTGTCCTGGGGCACTATCCCTCCAGCCAGGTAAGCCACCGTAGGGTAAATGTCCATAAGACTTGTAGGTTCATCGATAACTGTGTCTGCAGGTAACACTCCCGGCCATCTAAATATCCCTGGCACACGGATCCCTCCTTCCCAGCCTCCCATAGCTTTTCCACCTATTTTTAAATAACAAGGCAATAGAAGATATTTTAGAAACATGAAGTGTTGCTTACTTAACCCGCCAAATATTATTGGTTTATCTTTCTTAAGCCTCTCACACTTATTTCAGTTTTACCATGAGCCCATCCTCCTCAGGAACAAATTTAGTTGTTTCAATCCCATGAAAATGGATTTTCTTCAGCTGCCCCCTCAGTAGCTTACCCATCTACTGATTCCCCTTTGTTTTACAGGCAAGAGAATTGCCACACTGGACCATAGGATGGATCACATTTTACTATGTAGATGGTCACATTGATGCCTCCCTTCCCATTTACAATTCAATGGATCACCTTCCATTCACAATCATGTAACACCCTGTTAAAACTATAGCAACTGTTTAATATTGTAAGAGTATTTAATGTGTTTTAGCGGTTTTTAATGCAATTTAGCATGTGACCAGCCAGTTCTTCATGAAGCACCAGTTTGAGGACTTCTGAATTAAAGCATTCCATCTAATCACATAGTTGCCTATGTACTAGTGTATTTCCTGGAATTCTTTTTGGAACATTTTAATAACATAAGAAAATAGATGCAGCTTTATCAATTCAATAACCTCTATCCCGATATAACGCTGTCCTCGGGAGCCAAAAAATCTTACCGCGTTATAGGTGAAACCGCATTATATTGAACTTGCTTTGATCCGCCGGAGTGCGCAGACCCCCCCCCCCCCAGAGCGCTGCTTTACCACGTTATATCCACATTCATGTTATATTGGGTCGCATTATATCAGGGTAGCGGTGTATTAAAATCCTCTTATACCCCTAGTATTTTGAGCAGTCTAACTTTGATTAATTACTTGAGTAGTGTAGCCTGATTTAGGGTGTGTTAATAATATTAATTTAATTTATCATTTAATTTTTATTTTAATTAGTCAATATCAATAATAGTTAATAATTAATATTAATAGTATGGGTTTTAGGCTCGCCAATCTGTTTGATCAGAAGATAAAAGTTCTTGTCCCAAATCAGGTTCCACAGAATTTATAAAGGACCCTTGGGGGTCTGACAGGAAGCTCACACTGACACAGATATAGCCTTAAAGACTTTTTATTAAAATCAATAATAGTAAGTAAATGGTGAAATACTCAGAGTTACAAAGTTACAATTGCATTACTGCTATTTGAAAGCTACATATGATAATATAGTATTATATGCAACAAAGCTTTGGTTAATATACTCACACCCTTCCTTGATAACCTGGTGGTAAGAGACACAGGACCAGCCTTGCAGTTCAGGTTTCTCAATTCTTGAGTGAGGGATGCAGTGCTTAGAAAAATCTAATGCTAAGAGCTATCAAAACTAAATTACTTGACTAACTTAAACTTAAAATCAAAACCTAATAAACTAAGAATAAAACTTAGGGAAACCAAGCTTAGCCTAGTTTCTTTGAAACTTAAAGCTTAAGAAGAACAAGTACAGCCTACTAATATTAGCACTCATCGTAGATAGATAGAATAGAGACAGTGGAGGAAGTAAGTGAGAATAATAGAGAGGAGTGCTCTAGCGAGGAGGGTCACCTCTTTTATAGGCACAAGTGTCGGAAATCCTTCCTCCTATGCCCAAATTTCATTCCTCAACACAAAATGTTAGGGTACGCTTACTCCATAGGCTAGTATGTTTGTGCATATTGATGACATGTACATATGCACATAAGTTCCCTTGTGGTACCTGCTAAGTCTGTGGGTACAACATTGAAAACCCCCCATGCCATTCTCCATTGTCTATTGGTCTAGATAAAAGGTAATAGACATAGGCATGGGTACTTATCTATTTAGGTAACAAGGTATAGGTCAACTTTACTTTTCTGGGTAAAAGGTCTTAATATAGATGTGCTAACTTTGCCTTAGTTTAACATACGGGATATGGCCTGTAGGTCTCTTGCATTACAGCCAAACTTACTTTAATATAAATCTATAAACCTATTACAATAAATCAAATACTTAAACTATAAGAAAAGATATATATATGCAAGCAAGCAGGTTAATCCTATAGGCTACAGTAGTGGAGTGATCAGCCAGTGAGGTACCAAGACCAGGCAGGTGCAGAGGGCAGTGGAGAGGTGGAGCAGTGGTTCCAGCAGCAGCAAGTAGAGAAGCCTAATAGGTGCTGCTAGAGGAGAATTCCCTCCCCCGCCTTTGTGCTGGATGATTCAACTGTATTAGCCAATACATATATGCTAGGCATAGTATACACCACATTAATAGATATTATGTGCATGGTATTAATGTAACTCACGTGGGTGTTGGGAAATTATGTTACCTGAATGTACTATGCTCGTCTCACAATTCTGCCCACCCACGCCAGTTGTCCCACAGCACTTTGCAAACCTGAAGTCAGCTTTGGCATTAGAAAATAGACACTTGCCAAAGCAAAGATGCATGACTACTTTGTACCAAGTACAGTTAGAGAGTACTTTCATGGCTCATCAGCACTTGGAATCTAGAATTTAAAATGAGATATGGGAAAGTATAGGGAGGTACCAAAGCCAAAGCTGGCACAAACTGGTGGGTTAAACTTAAATTGACTGTTTAATAATTTGTTCCAGTATCTTTCCAGCTATTGACATTAGGCTGACTGGTCTATAATTGCCTGGGCTCTCTTTGTTCCCCTTTTAATATTTAAAGATATTTCAGAAATCAAAGAATCTTTCTTTGATCTCAAGGTTATGCTGGGGATTTATGACTCCAGAAATTCTAAAGGAAGCATTTTCCCTGAGGCTCCCTCATTATTAGCTGTTAATTTGAGTAGAGTGTTTAGCAGCAGCTCTGTTCTAGAATAGTTTGATGGCCCTAGTGTGAGACCTATGACCATCACAAGAAGCCTGGTGGTGACAACTTCCAAATATTCCTGCTACCCCTCCTATACCTCTTAGGTTAGTAAGAAGTCTTGATTTGCTTCATCTTTTCAACCCAGTCTAAATGAAAGTACCCCTGATTTAAGGGGGTAGAAATTCTAAGTATTATTTGTCAGTGGCCCTATTTAAAAAAAAATAGGGAAAAGATAGAGTCACATGCCAATTTGCAGTACCACATACGTGTATTACTAGAATGATCGGTGTTTTATTTTCTACCCAGAAGACACATTTTAAAAAGTTAAAAAGGCTCCCCAATTTAGGTTCGCAAGAGAGAGTGGAGGGGAGTTTAAAGACTAGTGCATGGCTAAGAAAGTCTGGCGTATGAGAGCTCTTCTTAGACAGAGGCCATTCAATAGGAAAACAGTCTATGAATGTACAACCAGGAAGAATTTCTGTTCCTTTTAACAAAATAAGTGACCAGGTCACAGAAGAAAAACCTGTTGGAATATATTCTATTTTGGAAGTTGGTGGCAATGGGTTATGACAAGATTAAAGTTAATATTGAAGCCCATATCCCCAAACCTTTGTTCTTTTCCAGAATGGCTTCCAATCTCCAGGTAAGTTACAATTTTGATAAACCAACAATATCATAACAAAGCTCCTAGGGAGGATGTTATTGCAACACAGGTTTATAAGGACAGTATAAATTTGTGGTCCCCAACCCCTGTGTTAGTAAATTATTTACCAATATAAATAATACAGGAATTTCTCCTCTCCATGTTGGTCCATCAGTTATATTGTTCTTCTTTACAAAAAAGGTGAAAGCAATGAGCCTGCGAATTACCAACCAATTAGCCTTTTTACATGTGATTTTTAAACTATACTAGAGATCTCCTGTGGATATTAAAGGTTTAGGTAGAAAGTTGTAATGTATTTGCTGAGAAACAAGCTGGTTTCAGAAATGGCTGCCCTATCATTGAAAACTATTTTACCCTGTCATGGGGTGCACTCACCGCTAGTGGCGTCTCCTGCTGGCCATCCTGGAGATTAGCTTTGGCCAGCCATTGTGCCCTCCCTGGAAGTGTCTCTCCCATTGTTCTCTCACCCTGTAGACCCCTCTTATTTCAGGAACCTCAGCTTCCTTTTCATGACTCAACCCTCCAGCCGAGTCACCATATGTGTTTTCCCCTTCCAGGGCTGGAAAGTCTCTCTTCACAAACAGGCTCAAGCAATGCCCCACCAGTGCCACTTCATCAGCAGCTGGTAGGGGGACCTGGACGTTCCCTCTATTCCAGGTCCCTATTCAGGTTCCCTCTCACTGGCAGGCAAGGTTTGACCTATTCCAAACCTTGCTGCTTTCCCCCTGAACTTTGCCTACCTCTTTGGCTCTCCCCCTTCTCTGGGCTTGCCAAGCTACACTCTCTCCTCCCACGGAGTAACTGTAGTCTTCTTGCCTCCAGCCCCAGACATACGTCCCTTCTCCCAGGGAGTGACTGGAGACTCCTTCCTTCCAGCCCCTTCTGTTGCTAGCTTCCTGGCGTATATAGCCCCTGCCTCTTCCTGCCCAGCTGAGCCTCTTCTAATTAAATCCCTGCTCCCTGTATCCTTCTCCAGGTGCAACCTGGGCAGTTAATTGTGGGGTGGACACCCCGTCACATACCCTTATTCATTTAATTCATAAATATTGCTCCCCCCAAAGGGGGGGATTTTTTTGTGGTCCTTGTTGACCTGAAATTGGCTTTTGATTCCATTGATAGAGGCCATCTCTGGGATAAACTTGTGAGGGCTGTCATAGCTCTTCAGCTACTCTCTCCTCTGAGAGACCTTTATAGCCAAATGGTGGCCAAAGTAGGATATGGCAATGAGGTGAGCTAACTGACCCTATCTACATCACAAAGGGAGTCCACCAGAGTTGTTTATTGGCCCCTTTCCTATTTCATGTTTACACTAATGAAGTTGTGGTGATTTGAGAAGTGGTATAGTGTTTCCCTCCCTGAAGTTTGCACCAATTTACATTGGCCTTTCTTTATGCAGATGCCATGATTTTGCTGCCTCATATACTTCCGGGCTTAATGCGTATGTTAAAGGATTTTAGCTCTTTTTGCCAGCAGGAGTACCTGATCACAAAAGGGAGCGCCAAATCAAACAAATTTGACCCCGAAAACTAAAGTAATTTCCTTTGGCCACAGACCGAAGCTTCTTAAATGGATAATTGAGGGCTATTATATGGAATAGGAACATTGAAACCTTTTTGGGTATTTGGGTTTTACATATAATGGCTAATGGGATAAATCTATAGAAGAGGTAAAGAAGAAAGCCTTAAGTTCTATGCAACTGGTGCTTTATTTTACATAATTTAATCATTCTGGCTTTTAGAGTTTTCAGGGATAAAGTCCATGACCAAATATGATATGGTGTGGACATTTGGAGCTGGAAAACCTTTAACGTGTTAGAGGTTGTGAAAAAAACCTTTGTGGATAAGGGTGAAGCTGTGGATGTGGTATACCTAGACTTTAGTAAGGCATTTGATACGGTCTCGCATGATATTCTTATCGATAAACTAGGCAAATACAATTTAGATGGGGCTACTATAAGGTGGGTGCATAACTGGCTGGATAACCGTACTCAGAGAGTTGTTATTAATGGTTCCCAATCCTGCTGGAAAGGCATAACGAGTGGGGTACCGCAGGGGTCTGTTTTGGGACCGGCTCTGTTCAATATCTTCATCAATGTCTTAGATATTGGCATAGAAAGTACGCTTATTAAGTTTGCGGATGATACCAAACTGGGAGGGATTGCAACTGCTTTGGAAGACAGGGTCATAATTCAAAATGATCTGGACAAATTGGAGAAATGGTCTGAGTTAAACAGGATGAAGTTTAACAAAGACAAATGCAAAGTGCTCCACTTAGGAAGAAAAAATCAGTTTCACACATACAGAATGGGAAGAGACTGTCTAGGAAGGAGTACCGCAGAAAGGGATCTAGGGGTTATAGTGGAACACAAGCTAAAAATGAGGTAGCAGTGTGATGCTGTTGCAAAAAAAGCAAACATTAGTCTGGGATGTATTAACAGGTGTGTTGTGAGCAAGACATGAGAAGTCATTCTTCCGCTCTACCCTGC